AGGCCCCTCGTTTCGTTTTTACAGATTCAGACTAACATGGCTACCCCTCTGATACTTTGTCCTTTATGTCCCTGGTTTAAAGGCAGCCTAGAATAAGGATGCAGCGTTCTGGAAAACTAAATGGAAAGAGAGACCGCTGAGGACCAAAGCAGGTAGAATATGGTCTTTCTCCTTATAAGGCAAATAAAGCTCACTGCCTTCACAATGCAGGTCCTGATCATATGGGGGGAGAGGAATTCCTGGGTGTTGAATGAACTGCAGGAATTACTTTGGGCTTCTCAGGGAAGGTATTCATAATATGAAGCAGATATTAAAACTGTATGTTGATTGATATGGAATAATAATAGTTATGATAATTAGCAATTATATACTTTGGATTGACTGGACCAGATTTTCAAAAACACTCAGAATTGAAAAGGCTCAGTCTCTCCAATTGTGAGATTTTTCCAAAGAGCTCAGAATCCAATTTGCAAACGCTGGCAATTTATTTTGGTGTCAAAATGGGAGATGAGTTTTTGAAAAGCTAGGGTGTAATTGTGATTGTCTTTGCCATTGACTTGAATAGAAATAGCATTTTACCTCGGGGCAGATCCTCTACTGGTGTAAAAGGTCATGACAGTTTGGTGGGCTTTGGACCTTATCCTGACCACTGCTGAGGACTCACAGCTGCCAATGAATAAATAATAATAATTCCCATTTGCAAGAAAGCTTGTCAGAGAGTAGTCAGTATTGTATCTAAACAGATATTTGTTAAATTCTTTTTCCAGTCCTCTTGTGAGGTCCGATTTTTGTTTTTGTTTTTTCCTATGCTCTCTGGCTTTTTTTCTCCTGGGAGACGAAACAACTACTGCGAAATAAAATGTAAACATGAGCAATCCTGACTTATCCTATACCAGTCACTGCAGTGGCAGTTCAAGGAAATTCACACAATGAAGGATTCAAGGGACATCAGCATAATTAAGCAGCCATTAAAGGCAACAAGAATGTTAAGCCAATTGAATTTTTTGATTGAAAATTCTTACAATAATAGACACGTACTATAGTATACTGTACATGTTTAAATGTTATTTTTTGTTCTTGTACCGCTTATTAACCAGAGATATTTAACAACAATAATACTGTGCACTTCTATAGCACCTTCCATCTGAGGATGCCATATACAGGGCCAAAGAGTGGTTTGTAGGCACAGCACAATACTGGGTGCAGCACAGGGCAGTACCACGCTGGGGGGACCCAGGAGGGATCGTGCCTCAGAAACAACAAGGAGTCTGGTGGCACCTTAAAGACTAACAGATTTATTTGGGCATAAGCTTTCGTGAGTAAAAACCTCACTTCTTCGGATGCATAGGAAGAAGTGCTATGCATCCGAAGAAGTGAGGTTTTTACTCACGAAAGCTTATGCCCAAATAAATCTGTTAGTCTTTAAGGTGCACCCGGCTTCCTTTTTGTTTTTGGGGAAGAATCCTCCCGGGGTCCCCCCAGCGG